CGTTACCTTACTATTCGTCTTGAGCAAAGTTACACCCAAAATTTTCGAAGCGGTATTTCACGAAAACGATCTGTCTCTATATCACGAGAGAAAGATAACCTCAACTAGTGCTGATATTATAATCAGCATGGGAAATTGCAGAAAACCCTGCAGTTATTTGGACTCTAAACATACAGTCATTAAAAATGTTTCGACAAACTGCACAGACGGCACGCGTCATCGGCAACATAGTCATCGTTTATGCATCACTGATGTAGTTACGAAAGTTCACTACCTCGTCAACATTGGAACAGGAGTTGGTGTTCTTAATGCGGATTCTAACGACCAACTGCACGAAACAGTTTTCAACGTACATGTAGCAAAGGGAAAACCGTGTGTCACATACGAGAAGCAAAATGACTACCTTAACGTGGGTTTACACACACTCGCTCATTGAATTTCGCCTGTTGCAGATGTTTCTGTTCCAATCATTGTTACAGAACTGACACAACCCAATAATCTTATTACTGACTCGCGTAAATGGAGGTTAGTAGTGGGAAACATTGAATTATATGTTTGAGTAACTCTATTTCTGGTAGTAGTAGATTGTGCACAGTCGCTGTTGATGACGCAATTGATCCATGCTAACGACACACACCCTACAAGTTACTCGAATTATAGCAAACGTAACCAGACTTACCGTGTGTAACCAACAATGTTACACATCACATCTCGACTACAGGACCACACAGATTAGCTTCCGAAAAGCCGAAGTCAGCTAAAAGCGAATTCGAGCACATTATTATTTAAAATTTATTCGGCCATCGATCAACCTATGGGCTGCAAAATCTGCATTCAAAACGTTGAGTGTTCTACATTCGCACTAATTGCATCGACTCATTAGTTTCAGTTTCAGTTTGGGGAGGACAGGAGGCTTGGTGGCCTATGTTAGTCATGGCAATTGTGGTCTCTCATTTGATCCAACTTTCTTTCGACAGAATCGATAGATGGAGCCTCAACCAAGTGCTGAGGTAGTGAATTCCACTCGTCGATGATTCGATGGGAAAGTGGATAGTCAGCTGACAAGTAATTTGTTCTCGGCTTGTGAACGTTTTTGGAGTGTCCTCGTAAATTCGCTGTTTTGGAAGATAAGAAAAATGAGGGCATATTAGGTGCAAATTTATCACTAAGCAGTTTTTAGACTGTAATCAAGTCACCTTTAGTTCTGCGATATGACAACGAGAAAAGGTTCAGCTTGGCCAGTCGCTTGTATGTAGTACTCAAGTTTAGGATGTACGAACACTGCATACAAAGCCAAAAACGTTTTAGCGTCGACATGACTAAAAGCTCTACGTATTGACCATAACGTTCTAAAACCTTTGGCGGCTATCGCACGGCAGTGTGCAGTGGTCTTTAAGTCTTGGCTAACGATGAATCCTAAGTCCTTATATGTCTGAACGACAGGTAACTCAGTGTTATTCATCGTGTATGTATCTGTGCCTTGATGACCAATATGCATCACAACAAACTTGGAAGTATTTATCGTCAACTTCCAGGTTTGAGACCATTCAGATAACATCTTTAGGTCATTTTGAAGTTCAAAGCTAGTACTCTTAAATCGTATCGTTCTCCATATCTTGAGATCGTCAGCATATAGCAAGACCGATGATGATAGGAGACAAGGAAGGTCATTTACATACAAGGGGACAAGCACTGGCCCCAAAACGGTACTCTGGGGTACTCCACTAAGCACAGTTTCCCAGCTAGATAACTTTGAGTTCACCCTTACTCTTTGTTGACGCTCAACTAAGAAGTCTTTTATTCATATCAATAAATTGCCTGCAACCCCGACTTTCTTAACTTGTATAACAGCCAGTTGTGCGGAACTTTGTCAAAAGCTTTATTGAAATCGATGAAGGCGACGTCTACATGTAGCTTTTGGTCCTTAAGAGCGCACCAGCTTTCACGAGCCACTAATAAGTTAGTGAGACAAGAATAACATATTCTGAAGCCGTGATGCCTCTCCGGTTTTTATCGAGATACTTAAACAGCTCCTTCCGATTAATCTTTTCTAAGATTTTAACAACCACACTAGTTAGGCTAACGAGGCGGTAGTTCTCAGGTTTGTGTTTCGTACCTGTTTTGAAGACAGGACTTACTATGGCGTTTTTCCAGTCTTTCGGTAAACGACCCTGCGTAACGGATAGGTTAAAGCATGTAATTAAAGGGCTTGCAACGAAGTTAGATAATTCCTTCAGTAGCCTAGGATGTAATTCATCGGGCCCCGGGGATTTGCCTATGTCCATCCTATTTAGCAGACCAAAGAGATCGGGTGTATGGGAGGATCTGTATACGCTGACGGGAAGGGCGCTTCCATGGTATATACGTTGCTAAAGTAGTTCGAGAACACTTGAGCCTTACCAAAGTCGTCCTCCACTAATGATGAGGCAGTACTGTCTCCCCATAGATCAGGAATATTTCCTTTTCCCCTTGTCCTTTGGTTTATATAGGAATACAAGCGTTTAGGTTATTCTATGGATTCCTTAACAAGTTTCTCTTCGTACAATTTTCTAGACTTACGGAGGGTCGAGGCACAAGTATTCCGAGCCTTTCGATACTGAGATTTTGACTCATCAGTCCCCAGAAACCTAAATCTATCCCACATTATCCTTTTCTTACGGAGAAGGATACGGACCTCCCTACTGAGCCATGGTGGTGAGTTTTTCGGTTCCTTTGGTATAGTCCAAGGGATGTGAGGTGTGGTAAATTTTAAGTTCGAATTTCGAAATACGTCCCAGGCCGTTTCAATTAAGGACTCTGGGTCTATGGTCCAATATGTTAACGATGCTGAGTGCATGATGGCTGGTATGTTCACTTTCCAGACGTTGGGTGTGGACTGGACTGATGCGTACTCGTGACTGGCAGTTTTATGGAAGTCGAAACTTAAAACTGCGTGATCACTTTTACCTAGGGGTGGCATATAATGGAGGTTCGAAACATCATCCTCATAGTGAGTCAGTATAAGATCTAATAAGGATGATTCAGTGTCCGAGTCGTACCTTGTCGCTTCTTTCACATGTTGCACTAGGGCACATGTGATAACCCCATCAACTAGTTCCTGCTCGAAAGAATTCTCCGACGATTTAGTTCGCAGATTTTCCCAGTCTACCATAGGTGAAGTCCCCTAAGATTAGACATCGACCACTTTGGGACCCAGTATTGAGACTTCTTAACAGGATCTCGTTTGCCTCACAGCTTGGACTACGATAGACCTAATCAATCCGCAGCTCTTGTCCCTTGCATTTCAAGCGGCAACTAACTAATTCACATATCCCACTCTCATGGGATACACTATAGATAATGGCAAATGGGATAGCATTCCTAATGAATAGAGCTACTCCCCCTCGTTTGCACTTTTGTGTTCTGTTGGCCCTTACTAACGTAAAACCCTCGGAATCAAGTTCCATAATATCTACAGTGTGTCAGCCAAGTTTCTGTGACTGCGATAATGTCTGACTTTGTAGAGTCGATCTGAACACCTAGTTTCGATCGCTTATTAAGAAAGCTTTTGCCAGCGTCTAACCTAAGTTGTAGTTCTTTTTCGGCTTCCCGCCTTATAACACGGTCTACCAACGGTAGGTCCTTTCGGTAAAAGACTCCTGAACCCTTTAATCTGTGTCCATTCTGTAAAATTAGGTCACGTTCGTTCTAAGAGCTGAACACTACTTTAAGCAGTCTGGAATGATTTGGTTTCGAGTTCACTAAACTACCTAGTCTGTACACCTTTAGCAAGGTGACCCCAGTCATATTTTGAGGCATAAGTTGATTAAGCAACTGCCTAATCAGTACAATGTAATGCTCAAAACGAGCTTTAGTTTCAGAGCTCTCGCTCTCCTTGATTCTATGAAAAATAACTGATCTGTCGCTATGATCAACTTTCGATTTTTCACCTACTTTTACGGAGGCAGGATTCCCTTTAATATCCCTACTTTTCTTCCTTACAACCTGTACCCATTCGTCAACAGTGCTGGTAGAGGCAATAACAGTTGTGTCAAACATACTGTTGCATTTTGGGGAGTTGTCGACGACCTGAGAGGTCAGGCTATGTTTGCCGCTAGAAACCGATCTAGCCTTGCGATTGCGGCTTCTAGGTGTTTCCTGTCAGACCCCATCTGAGAGACGGGGAACAGAAAACCCTACTTTTCTTGGGCTTTTGTTTAAGGCAGGCCCCTTTGGAGATTGCTTTTCCCCTTTTGATGGGCGTGAGTAGTCTTTTATCGAACTAGCTTTAGTTTCCTTAACGTCGATTTGCGTGTCGACAGATCGAGTGCTGTTTGACGTGTTCCAACTATGTTTGCTGAAGCACTTCTTTGCAGCATCAACCAGTGAGATGGCCTCGGTTAACAAGCTGTTGTCATCCGAGTAGCACTGTTGACAAAGCCATACACAACCCTTCTTACTGAACCGTTTGAAAGCAGCAGGCCTTAATTTCGTGCAAACTTCGTGGTACCAGCCTTTGCACTCGTCGCACTGCATGCCGCTTTCAACAAGATAACGACAACGCGGACGTTGGCAACTGCTTTTATTTGCACTTCCCGGTCATTTAAAAGGAATTCTTTTTCAGGATTCGATGATGCTCAGAAACAAAAAATAATCAATGACCAAAAAGTGAAGAGCTGTAGATTGCTAGTACCAAAAGTACTAACAGATACAGTTGAAAAAGAGGTACTCAAGATTACCAACAACAAAAATAATTGAGAACGGTGAAACGGTACTCTATTCGAATACTTTAACTGAAATAAATTCAATTGAAGTGAAAACAGTAATCTTTATACGTAATAAAGGATCAAAACAAATAAATTTACTCAGCGAGGAAAAATAACACTTAACTTTTTAAATAGCGCGCTCAAACAAATTGATGAAGCCGTTATTGTTAATTAATTAAGATGGAAGTGTTTGAATTTCAATTATTTAACATTGTCAAATCCTCAAATATTTTTCGTTATGATGCAGCGACTATAGAAAGACGCATTTGGCAAATTTTAAATAATGTATTTGTTTTCGTGAAGTAAGTGTACATTTTGGACATGGACAGTAAGCTAAGATTTATTCACTATATTTTCTGCCTTTAAGAAGATTATGATGACCAAGACTTAAACTCTAGTCCGGAAATACGAAGAGGTTTATGTAAGTACTGATTTTTATAACTATTTTTTAGGTAAATCTGACAATAACGATTCCCTATTTCGAGATTTATATCAGTTTCCTCGTATGTAAAAAACATTTGGCTGATTCTTTTCACTAAGTTTCACCAGATATCAAGAACTCAACACTCAATGCCGGTGATGGCGTTAATATCACTGATGTTTCCCAACTAAAGTTTAGTCCTATATGTGAGTTTTAGAGATTTTTTCAAATGCTTAGATTCACCGTCTTATAAGAGTTCATTGGTTGACAATAGTGGCTTTGATCCACTGGACTCTAATGACACTTCCTTTGACCATCGCTCAAGTTTATTTGATAATTCTGATAATACGACGTATCATAATGCTTTGAAATTGAAAAGAATACCAGAGATTTCCATAAGCCAAATTCCTGAGAGGTATGCATTTAGCCATCATATTCTTATGTTTTCAATGAATTACAAGGTCGTTTTTTTCAAAGGTTTTTACTTTTAAAAATAACCTACATGTTTTTACAACTAAATGGTGCTAAAATAGATATTTCACCCACGTACTTTATCATTTCTTTAGTTTAAAAGCTTTTATCGAGTACAATCGCAACTCTTACATGTATAGTAGTGAGTGCTTACACTCATACATCAAAGCATATTTATTTTTAACTGATAACGTATACATTTGTTAATTACGATATCGTTACCTCTTATGAAGTTCTTATTTTAGTTTGGAAATGCAGGAGGCTAGGTATTCTGTTTCAGTCCTGTAAGCGGTAGTCTCCTAGTTCATCCAACTCTCTTTTGAGTGTATCGATAAATGGAGGTTTAATTACGTGTCGAGTTAATGAATTCCATTTGTTCATGATTCTATGGGAAAGTCGATAGTCAGCTGACAAGTAATCTGTTTTGGGTATATAGACATTTTCCCTGTAAAATCTGTTTTGGAAGACAAAAACAGTGAAGGCATATCAAATACAAATTTATCACTAAGTAATTTGAAAATTGTAATCAATTCACCTCTGATACGTCGATATGACAATAGAAATATGTTTAGCTTTGCCAGTCAATAGTCATATGGAAGCTTTGCTATTTGTGGAGTCAAATTAGGCACGGTTTTCTGAACCTGTTCCAACAGTTCACTGTCCGCCTTTTTAGGGATGTAAAGAATAGATCCTCATTTAACGAAGCACTTTGCACATATGTTTGAGTATTCAGTGATGTTAGTTTTGAATGTTTCTGTTTATCAAATGCTTGGTGGTATAAAGAGCCTTAATAGCAACCAGATGTTAGCCAAAAATGAAACATGGGGTTGAAATGAAGTGAATACTTTTCACGAAAATCATATGGAGATCATAGCTTACATGACGTGTGTTTTCTTGGTGTTAGGAGTCAGTATCCGCTGACAACAAGTAAATCTAGTACAAATCACCTCTATGAACCTGTTGTTACTTCGTTCATATGTGGTTGGCATTTTTTAAGTATCGTTTGATGATGTAGTTGAACAAATGACATTTTTCTTCCATCATTTTATACACCTTTGCTATTGCTTGGTGTTTTGGTGGTAAAGGTAATAAACCGGATAGAAATCTAAGTGCTTATCAAGTTTTGTCACTTATTGATGTATTTAGATCCGTATACAAAACAAAAATACTTGGCAAAAGTATGCGTCAAAATTAATTTTCTGAAGGAAGAGAACCAACAAACCCATCAACCTTTATTTTCATTATAAGCGAGTGCAGTGATTTACGTTTCGCTTTTATAGCTGCATTATTGATAATCTTTAATGCTTGATGACATCAGTTGGTAGGAATTTTCATTTCCCAGGAGTTCATGAAAATAACCGTGTTGTGTTACTTCGTTTTCCTTGAATACTAAATCCCATGTGAATTTTACAGACACTTGGAATGAAATAAATTTATATCAAAGTATTTTTAAAGTTTTTAAAGCTTGGAACATTTCAGATCAATTTCGAACTTATAAACATTTATCCGCCTGAAAATGGGATAGAGTAAAGACATTGAAGGTGCAATACGATATCATATATACCTAGTCAACTTTATTCGAGATCAAATACTAAGTAAATAGCTCATCAAATACTTTGTCATTCTACACTTTACCATCTCATTATGTTTTACACCGGAACATGATTTTTTAACACACAAAATTTGAATGCAGCAAAGTTTTGCCAACATAAATACACATCTATTTAGTGTGTTTCTACCGTAACTTAATTATCCTCGAAAACATAACTACCAACTTATCTCTACATATTCTAATATGATGCTTCATAACTCTGTCAAAGAAGATGAATCTTAATTTGTCCTCTACCCTTTACTGTTCTATCGTGAGTCAGTGTTGGCAATATTTATCGATGATACCTATGCAATTGCTGAGATAAATAAATTTACTAAGAGGTATGATCATCTATAATATGACTGTTTTACGGTTTCTTGAAGTGATAAGTCGTTGTTATTCCATAAATGATACCCGTATTAAGACAGGTCTTAGCAAGTATACTGCACCGTATGGAACGGAAAATTATGGACTCTTATGTTTATGGCTAAAACTACAATTACTTAGTTTTTAAAGGGAACTTAAAAATTTTCTTCTTGGAAGTGCGCCAATACATGAAGATGAGTTTATTGCAAATGAACCATTAACTATGAAATCGGTTTACTTTTATTGAAAAATATCATAAAATTCCAGATTTCTTGAAAAATGGATATTTCATCATATCACAATTTCGCCATCTGCCTGAATTTTTCATACATTTTGAAAACTTGTCACAAACTGTGATAGCACAAATGTCTTTATTTTATATGAATTTTCATGAGAATAAAGCATCGATAGAAAAGTTTTTAGATTTCAATATGTATAGAATTATGATGCTTGTAAACTGAAAACGTGGCATGGTTGTTTAGGAAGCATTTAAAGTTTAGCTCGTTTTAATCACAAAAACGGTCAACACTGAATTATCAATATTCTTAACGTTTGATTGAACTTCCATTTTGAGTTTTTAGGGAAGAAGGATATATTTTAACTAAAGAGTCATTGATGAATAGTTCTTACTTCTTCTAGGACCCTCTCAAATTTAATGCTGGTCATAAGCCCGTATAATAGTGGAAGGATGGGCATAGCATTAGCAATCCCATCCTGCAGAAAAACTCCTTGCTAGAAAACGCTAACTAAAAATTAATTTGAACCATCTAATTTCTCTCCAAAAGCTGAACGGTTTTCATCTAGAAGAATTATGATGTCTCATCATGAAAGCCAGGATTATTTAGAAGCCACGAGGTTGTTGGCCCTTGTAATAAGCAGAGCAACTAATAATTTAGGTTTATGGGATTTTTGAATAATGTGAAAAAGCACTAAGACCATATTATTAGTTTCATAAATCAAAAGACAAAGTTTGGAGATGTTCGGAATAAAAGAAACTTATTGAAAGCAAGTGGAGCAGAAAAGATTAGCTTCGAGAAAGGTGTAATGGTATGCTGGTCATGAAGAAGGAAATGCTTTGCACACACAAGAAGTTGCACTAATTTTGTTCAAATATGCAATAAAAACACTTATAGGATATGAATCTCTTGGATTAACAATCATCAAAGCATTCTTTGAAAAAAGGAAAAGGTTATATTTTATACCATCCACTGTTATGCCACTACCAGTGAAAGCGAGGAAGACGATTTGGATCAATTTTATCAAAAACTGCAGTTAATCGCAGAAAAATGGCCAGGGTTGGATATGACTATCCCAATGGAAGATCTTAACAGTAAGGTTCGAATGGAAACTAACCTATGCAAAAAGCTGCATGGGTTTCACAGGGTAACACTTTAGAGAAACAGATCGAACACATGTAAATCGACAAAACATTCTGAAAGTTCCTAGCTAACATAAAAATAAAGAGAGGAGTTGATATAGATTTAGATCATTACCTGGTTGTGATCTATATGAAACTAAGGCTAAAGAAGAACTAGAAAGTTACAGAAAGGATGCTAACAAGGTCAGTGAATTCAAGATAGTTCTCAACACTAAGTTTCAGGACTTACAAGTTATGTTCAAAGAGGAGGAAAACAATTACAAAGAAGAATGAGAAACAGATAAAAGAACCAATAAAATGAGCACACCAGAAAGTGTTAGACCTTACAAAGCATCAGAGTAAAGAGTAGATTTCTATCGATAACCTGGGTAAGATTCAAGAAGGGAGGAATAAGAAGACAGCAAATAGTAACGCTCGAATAAGCTCAGAGAAAGGCAAGATGCAGGCTGTATACACAGAAGCAAACGAGAGAGTGAAAAGGAGCATTAGAATCGATAACCGTATATATATTGACTGAGCAATAACAGTAAAAAAATCTGCAAGAGGGTGAAGTCTATAAAACTGTATGATACGACGAAAAAGCTTGCAGGAAAATATAGTAAAGTAAAGCGACCGGTTGGGAAAAAGCCTACAACCTAATCACTGAGATTCGAGTAGAGCAGAACAGGTAGGAAGTATACTTTGAAGAGCTCTTGAATAGACCAGCCCAAATGAATTCACCGGACATTAAAGCAACACACATGGACTGACCTATAGATGTTACCGCACCAAAAATCAATAAGTTTCCACGACCACCAGACAAACAAAGATTGGAAAAGCAAAATAACGAAACTGCATATCAGCAAAAAAATTGAACTCACGCATAGAAGTTACTGCTAAAATGCCCCGTATTTTCGTCAGGAAGATTTGAGAGGAAAAATAAATAACGACAGACTGGAAGCAGGCCTACCTTATCAGGATACAGAAGATAGGAGATCTTAGTAGGTGTGAAAACCACAGAGGCACCACACTACAATCAAAGTAATTTTCAAGAGAGTGTTTTCACACCTAGTGGAAAGTTCAGTCGATGCCCAACTTCAAAATCAAAGATCTTGATTTCTTAAAGATCAATCATGTATCAACCAAATCGCATCGCTACGGATAATTGTTGAGCATTTAATCGAATGGAAATCATTACTATATATAATTTTCTTTGAATATGAGAAAGCTTTCTCAATGAGAAAACCCCAAGGAATCTTCTTCGACACTATGATGTATATCTGATTGTCAACACTATGTGGGATTCATACGATGGACTACACTAACATTTTGTGCATCGAGGGAGGACCCACAGGTGTTTTTCAAGTAGAAAATAGCGTCAAACCAGTCTTCTTACTCCTTATTTCCCTTTCTTTTGGTGGTTAACTGAATTATAAAGAATTCCACATCTCAGAGGAAGCACTGAATATAATGGTCATCTTAAACTAGGTGATCTGAATTTTAAATATGAGCTAACTCTTCTGTTCCATGCGTAGCAACAAATGAAGGCAAATATAGTGTGGCAGCAGCCCCAAATACACAAGGGGAAAAGCAAGATATCGGAATGCAACACAGAGCACCAACGCAATCACGATTGATGGAGAAGCTCTGGAATGAGTGCAAAGTTTTACGTGCATGGGCAGTGTCGTTGATAAACAAGGGGGATCTGATGCAGATGTAAAGGCAAGGAGGGACAAATCAAGAGTAGCATTCTTATAACTTGAGAACATATGGGACTCAAAATAACTGTCAGCCAACATCGAAGTCAGAATCTTAAATGCAAACGTCGAGATAGTTCTACTTTAATGAGCAGGAAATTGAAGAACTACCTTAACCATTGTCAAAACGTACAGCTATTTACGAACGTCTGTTTACACAAGATACTTCAAAACCGTTGGGCAAACACCATCAGCAGTGACCTGTGGTAGAGAAAAAACTAGCTTCTCGATGAGGATGAAATAAAATAAAGACGTTGGAGGTGGATAGGATATTCTTAGTGGAAATCATCAAGATGCATCACAAGGCAAACCCTGACTTGAAATCCACCAGGCAATATGAAAAGTGGCAGACCATAGAACACATTACACCGTTAATTTGGGGCAGACACATAAAAAACGAATAGCACTTAGGAACTACTATGACGTAGAGCCCAGAACAGATTTGGCTGAAGAATCGTAGTTGCCTCGAGTGGCAACAGACCTATGTGATTAGCTAAGAGAGTAGATCTGTAATTATAATGATTTCTCCCTAAATATGAAAAAAATTGGGTTTGAAAGTCGAAATTCGGTGTAAATAAAATAAAAAACCATTGCTGCTGTATAGAACAATTAGATTTCAAAAAATTCATTCTATGTAAGCACCACTCAGGCTCTAAAGAATTTCGGTGATTAATTTAAACTACTGAAAACATCTAAGACTTGCAGATGTGACAAGTGAAATTGTTAGAACATGACATCAGCTGATATTATTCCTAGTTTCTACTGACTACGTAGTTAAGGCAGTGTAGTTACAAATTGCATTTACTACACGGAGCGTTTTTTTCTCTGCCTACACTTACTCATGGGTGTTGAGCTAGTTATCACAGGGACACATTGTCCCGAGTTACTATATGAAGTTAATTGCTGTTGGGTTCAACTGTGTTAGAAATTTCAAACATCTTGTTAGTAATTCAGAAAATTACTGGTATTTATATTTGAAGATCATGGCTAACGTGGGTCAAATAAATGGACTTAGGTGGACTAGTAATATCTTTTCTGCCTGGTCCTAACTACAGTTTTTTATTATCAGTATCACTGATTTCTTTTGGAATTATACTTCCTACACTCAGATTTTGATCACTACTGCAATTTTCTTGAATATTTTTCTCCTAATCATAACTATGTACTATAGGCTGAATTGATAGATATATATGCTAAGGTTCTCTCTGTTTATGGTTGAATTTAATCTTTAAACTAAAGTAAATAGGATCTTTCATAAAAATATAGTTTCCAAAGTTATTGTTAGCATTTTATTTTTGATTGAGTATTTGTAGAAACTAAATGGTTTTCGATACGGCCACGAATGATATTCGAGAAAAAACAAAGTGAATTGTTTTTCTGACACTGCAGTTATATGCAGAGCGTATATTATAGTTAGGCAATGTTTTTATCTGAAAGCTACACGAATGTATGTTCTGTATCAGGTGGACTTCACATATAAAATCTCAAAATATTTTCAATCAAGATATTTATGTGCATCATTTTTCCCTGAAAGTTACATTCGCCTGAGCAATAATCGGGTTTAACATTATTAAAATAAGTGACTGCGAACAGTCTTAAACTAGTCTGTTAGAATTAGCGATAATTTTGCTTGCAACGACACCTTATACTTACTCTAGATTTAGACATGATAGATAAAATTTCGGTTTTGACATATCAAATTGTACACTTAAAATTATTAATGTCAGTGACCGATATTTCACATACACAGATATTTAGATAGTGAAGTTTATTCTCTGTCATTAGCAAATAAAATTCAGTCAATATTAGATGGTCCAAGAATTAATTCAGTGTTGTCAGTCAACTAATCTGTTAGCCCCATTTGTGAATCATGACTAGCTTCTTAAATTTGAGGAAAAACTGAACAGTCAAGAAGTTGAACTGAAATTAAAATACTTCGAAATATTCCAAAACTTAATTTACTTTTATCCTTGAATCCTAAAATATGATAGATTTATTCCCGAGCAAATTCAAGGGAGGTTCATTGGGTTTCGGTTAAGCTTCACAAGTTGCCTGAAAAACACAGGTTTAGAATCAAAACGCGATCACCCAAGACCTTAATATGAAGTCCCTAAAATAATTTAAAATGACCTCATTCCCAATCGCATTTACAAATATTTTGAATGATTTTGTGTAGCATATATTTTACGTGGATCATTCGAATTCTTACAAATTTTATGAAATTGACCTTAACACATCTTCATAGTGCACAAAAAGTTGTCTTACCACTTGTTCCATAAATGTCATACTTTATGTTTTAATGTAGAGGTGGCATTTGACGACTAATTCATAAGACCCTTAAAAAATTACCTATTACTATATGTTCGTTTGATATACAGTCATTATAGGGATGAGAAGCAATTTCACACTATTATCGGTCAATTAAATAGGGTTTATTGTAGTTTACACACTTCAGAATTCTGAACTTCATAAATAATGCATTAGTCTCTGTCGGGCGAATGGCTTTTGTTACTGACGCTTCGCGTACAGTTTTCTGAAAGCTTCTAAGTTTTGAAATAATATTGCGAATGGTTCTTAGTCGATTTTTACTCATTAATGACACAGAAAGATAACACATTTATTTATGGGAGATTATATGGAGTTATTTATTTTAAAGAATAGTCAAGAGGGAAAAAAACAGAAGTCGAGTAAGGGCATGATTATGTTAAGTAAAAACTATCGAGAAAGAGACGTCTACCGAAAGATTCATTTGATGTTTAAATACTGATAGGGGTTATAAATATTTCTACCATATATGATAGCAACTTAAACTTTAAATGACTTAATCTTTAGATGGACAAAGATGATTTATTTGGGTTCCTGCGGTTCTCACTAATTATTTTCGTTTAATGCTCTCATCAATTTTCCTATGTGTTGCACAAAACGTTCCGATCGTTCATGGATTGATTTAAACTACTTGGTGAACTTTGACCGTATGACTGAAAACTGTTTAGAAACTGTAGATCACATCTGTTTTAAACTGTAACATTCCAGTAAAAAATCGAGTTCATTGGAAATGACATTTCCGCTACTTTCTCTTTCCTTTTAAATATCTAGACATTTTTCATTTCTTAAAGGATAATATTGCATATTCTTTGACTAAAATGCTGGAGCTCTTAAGAATCCGAAGAAACAGTAATATCACTAAAGTTTATACGAAAGGAATTACAGTTTAGTTTAATTACTCATTTGTTTTCACCTTTTTAATAGTGAACAGTCTCGAAAAAGTCTAACTGGTTTTAGTGAAAACAATGAGATTAAAAAGCAGTATTCTTTTGACATACAAAAACAAGTAACCCCAAATCTTCTGCTGAGGACTAAAAATTTCATGAAGAAACACCATGTAAGTAATAATTTAAGTGTTTCCTTTTATTTAGTTACAAAACCTAGATGACTGTACAGAATGCTTAAAGTTAGTAGAATTCTATCAACAACTTCTGATGAGTTTTTTATTGTCCAAATATTACTTTTACTTTCAGTTCATTAACAACATAAAACCATCTAACTGGATTTTCTTACTCAAAATGTAGTACACCTGTGACCTAAACAACATGAACCATATTGTGAATTCAGTTTCAGATATTGGGATATTTACAGTTATTTTATGAAGAAATGTTTGAATAAATTTATACAGTCGTTCTAAACATAGAAAAGATGAATGAATTTAACTAGTACAGCAATTATCGCATTTTTACTTCAGATGAAGATTGATGAGTCAAAACAGGATTTTATGGTAATAATAATTATGCGTCAACAGCGCTGTATCATGTTTCGGTTCTTTTCACTCAGTTAACAGTACTGTAAACAATTAATAAAGCATAGTAATACTTATAACATGAGATACAGTAATCAGCTTCCTACCAAACGTTTTTTGATTATCTTTTTAGTTTAATTCTCTACAGTAAAGAATTAATGTTCTAACCAATTTGTTTGATATGATAATGTTTAGACAATGTTTTAAAATATACATATAATAAGAGACAACTGTTTTGAAACCTGATTTCATACTACCCACTCAATATTAAGAATTAATAAACTTTTGGACAAACAAAAGTATTCTAAGCTGATTTGTATACGTGGTACAAAGTTTATGAGTTTGCTGAAAAAATTGATTTTTGCTTATTTTACTAGAGTTGCATTGATACCCCTCCAGCTCATTGGATATCAGCACCAGTGGCCTTAACACCAAATCGTGATCTAGTTCACAGCTGTTCTTCCATAGAGAATGAAGTTTGTTTTTTGGTTAATCAAGTACAGAGTACAGACTTTATCACTTCAGTACAATATGCTCCGAAATGTTATATAAAATCACTCGATTACTCACCTTCATTTAGAACACCATTTAATGAGATTGATAACCCACCAAAACTACCGGTAAGCTAGTATGTGTCGAACTAATATTTGTTATAAACTTTATTCAATATAAGTGCTTTTTTGTTTATCCCATACTATATTTCCAAAATAGAGAAGCCAGGTTTCTGATTTGTAATTTAGTTATAATGATAAATTTTTAACAGTGGCGGATGTCTTCTGCTAAATAATCTGCCAGGTGATGGAAGTCAGACATTATTTGTAGAACTATCAACACTATCGCCCATACATTGTAGGAACAACAGTGATGAACTACACTACAACAAGGTTTTTTCGAGTTGGATAAATAGTGGGTATTTGAGTATTTATTCTCATACTTTATAAACAATCTCACACGATCATTATCAACGATATATGCTCTTCCAGTCGCTGAAGAAATTACTTGGAATAGTTTATTTCGGGCACACAATTCAAGTGATGTTACCAGCTAAAAATCAATGAGAGAGGAATCAAGGTATCAGTATTTATCGTGGAAGTAAATATGTAGACGGATGATACACTGTCAGTTAAGTATGTATACAGGTGGTTTAAGGGATTGCACGAGCGAAATATGTAGGCTAGCACATATATACAATCATACATAAGCATACATCTTAGAATAAATAATATATTTGTAATATCCCAATGAGTAGAAAAATTAGATTTCCTGACGTTTCGTGACTTAGTGTAGGTCACTTCTTAGATTAATTTTAATTTGGTTATTTATTCTCTGAAGAAGTGAGTTACACCAAGTCACGAAACGTCAGAAAATCTAATTTTTCTACTCATCGAGATATTACAAATATATTAGTTATTTATAACAATCTACCCAATGCTCAACTTATTTGAAATTATCAAATCAAACCTTGGTAATGATACTTATACATCTTAGAAGGTTAATTATCTGAAAATGTAAACGAATTATTAAGGATTAAAGCGACACATTTTAGTAAACACGGCTAATAACTGGCAACAGGATCTAGGATCCTATTCAAATATCGTCTACTGAATGCACCTGCATCTCAGTGTTTAATTCAAACCAGGACTCAAATATAGCACCTTTGATCTCAAACTCTAATGTGTTATCCTCTTATCTACTGAGTTTAGATAGACACAGTGTTTGAATCTTCATGCTATTGACGTTAAGGGTCGCAAATCAGTACCTTAATAAAAATCGACACTAAGATCCAAGTAGATCCAGATGATGAGCCAAGGGCTTGTGGGACAGGGATGAATTTTATTTTTTATTTGCATAAATCCGCCTGTTTCTGATGTTAACGTCTGAGTTTCAACTAGTCTCTTTTGAACTATGTGAATCCTTAACTGACAGCTTCATTATTGTCATCAGGTCACAAATATTTAATTAAAGACTTAGCTTTTATACAAAAGAAGAAATATGTGAGAGAAGACGATTGTTAAGGTTCTTCTTCCTCAAACAAAAATAATATCATATTGTTAACATTCATTTAATCTTTAAAAAAAAATCTAATTCAAAAAACTATCTTTCAATTAAACTTTAGAATTTATCGATCAATCTCTTTAAATCCTATTGACAATTAAAATGTTAGATTTATTTCAATAATTTAATTGATTGATTGATTATCAATTAGTTAATATGTTATTACCATCTAATTGATCACTGTTCATATTTGATTCTTTTTAATAAGGAAAAATTTTTTTTTATAAATGTATGAATTAGTATTCATGTGTATATTGTTCCATAGACAAAAATATGTTCAATATGACTGAATAGAACTAAAAAAAGAAATGTCAAATTAGGATTGTTTTCTTTTTTAATCATTAAGCCCTTAATTAAAATGTAACTATAATGTAAAAATTCTTTATTATTATTATTATTATTATTATAGGCTTATTTATCATAATAGAATGTGTAATAATAAGATAGTATTTATTATCTAGATGATACAGTCATGTGATACACATTCAAATAATATCCGACTGACTATATTAAAATTATATAATAGATTAGGATTATAGTCTGTTGATACAAAGTACAGAACAGTTTACACAATGTGAAATCCGAATAGAAATAATTATGAAATCATTGATAGAATAAACTTCTGATATTATTTAGTTTTGATATATATTTTTTTTATAGACAACGGATTGTATTCGCCTACTTTCACTGGTCACAAATAATTCTACTTTGCTAGTATAATTAGTTGTCACTTAATGATTGACTTATGTTGTATGAAATTATTGCATAAGATAGTACTAAGTCGTCAATATACACGTTTATTATAGAGAGAAAGAATATTGTTATAAAGCTAATGGATTTTGAATCCGAAGTACTCATAATAAATTGAGTTCTTAAGACAAACTGGCGAAGGGAAATGATATACAATGTACCTAGATGAATATATTTTCTTAAGCTCATTTCCTTAAACAGCTGTTGAGAAATATTAGTATGAACACATACGAATTTACTTTCACCAGTCTTCCTTTTCTGTAAAATAATAAACTTATTATATGCACTTAGAGACATCGGTTTCCAATATATGTTTGATTGTCAATAGTTTTTTATGAAGAGAAAATTTATCGTATCCAGTTCAATAGAGAAAATTCGTTTCAATATCGGTTTTCTGTAGTTGCATTAGTCATCACAAAGCATCACTGAGACGCATTTATCATTACAGCTAAATATCCAAGTTGTCAGCATTGTCAACGTTTAATGACTTGATCGACACATTAAATCAGTGGCCACATTTACTTAGACTAAATTAGATTCAATTGATTGTCGTATGACAGATATTTCATTGTGTTAGATAACGCCATATTTACTGTGAAGTTGCGAACCATTTCTATCAGTCGGTTGCTTTTTCTACATATTTTGTGGCTTCTGAAATAAGACCAAAGCTGGAAAATAGGAAAGCCTTAAGAGATATTTTGTGTTCTTATTGATATGGTTCAGTCTTTTTCTCGTTTAATGACACATTAAATGAAAGACTGAGGTAAAAGTGAGGTGGTGAAGTCAACTGAATAATTTAGGAGTGGCTTTAGTTTCTTAGCGTTATTCCTGAAGACTTATTTCAGATAGGATTCCGGTTGACTTATTGAAAACAGGAAATAACTAATTAAGTTAGGAAATCTCTGTAATTCATAAAATCTCTTTCCGTAGTCGAAAGTTTCATCCTCACTAGGATACTTATTGATGTTAATAATTTAAAGTGATGATTGATTTTGCACGGTCATACTACCAATCATGTAGAAAAAAAAGACTCAGACGGGATATCTTAAATTATTCAAAAGTAAAAAGCCCAGCTAAAATTTAGACAAGTAGCAAAGTGGATAGGTAATAATGTAGTGAACAGAACACGAGTGGGGACAATCGAATGTATTTAACACAAAATTTTAGGACCTGTTAATAAAATCTAACAATCGTAAAGTAAATGCTTAATTTGCAAAATGTCCACCAACTGTCTCATAATGACTCAGACTTCATTGTTCTTGCATTTTCATACAAATTGCATCCTGTTCCCATTCTTTACTGTTCGATCCTCTTGTCTCTCTGCGGCCAGACCTGTTTATGACTAACATTATATACTACTTATGTCAATATAAGTAGCACACACCACAATAAGACTACCTGACAATAAACGTCCCTGAGAAACACTACTAATAATTGTTATAACACAATCATACGGAATTAGTGAAGCGCAAAATAAGCCAAATCTAACTGATTCGATAAATTTATATATTGTAAAGAGGATGAAATAAAAGAGCCTGTGCATATATATATATATATATATATATATATATATATATATATATATATATATATATATATATATAAATCACAATTCATTTTTCCGAAATTTTTATTTGATTTTAAAAAATTCCAACATAAATAGAAATTCGAAGATAACCTAACTGCTACAGTGAGTGAAGTGCGTGCGTGGATAAACAAAATAATTGACGACATTTAGTTAAAATCCATCACAGATATGAAGATCATAATATATATATTTTTGGAATTGATCCAGTAGAAGACTGTGCTTACTGGTTTCTTCTTTTTAGTAAAACGAACTTAATATAATATTTTGTGTTGAATTTAATTTGCTTTTATTATTTCTTACTACTGTACTTAAAAGTGGGAAGTGTGAGTTTTTCTTGTATACTATATCGATGGGGAAAGTAATTGGAATAATTGTATTCGCACTCGGTTATGATTACTATTGCTCATAGATATATGAACTTAGTTCAAGTCGAAGAGAGAACGCCAACTCAGGCGCGAAACGCACATCTTGGATTCCCCTCCTGGCCAGCATCCATCTCTCCTTATAATGCTTGTGACTTAAGGCAACGTCGAGGTAATCTGCACAAGATGGACATACGCCAATAGGAGACTGATTAACTGAGGTTCTAAACGTCAGTGAGAAGATTCAAACAAACAATACAAAATAAACTTAGTCCTTTTAATCCTTACAAAACAATACCAATGTGATAGTGTTTTTATTTAATTGTCCTTTTATCTTTGACACTTATATCTGAGGAAAGTTCTTTGAGAAAAGATTTTACTCAAAATATGGAGAGAACACAAATTTATTAAATAGGAAAATTAGCTGAAATAAAAACACGGCTATGATAACAACGAAAAATTCAATAATCCCTTGTTTAAAGACTTACAACCTGAAAACATACACAACTGATTCTGAGGGTTAGTACGGTGTCATGATATGATCATTCTTTCCTCATTCTTATAGAATGCTTCTTTAAAATCTGAAAGCCTTAATATTCAAAATATGGTCCATCTGCCAAAATGTGATGTTACCAAAACGCTCATGAGCGAATATTCAGTTTTTTGTGTAGACTACTTTTAAAAAACATAAATCAAGAATTAAGGCATACCGAAACAGTGCTTCATATCATATTGACATAATATTCTGTAAAGGAATGAAATCTTGCTCGGCAGGACTCAGATTTTCTATAAATGTGCTGACAATACATTAACTATCGTCACAGAGGTTGACAGAATATCAATATGTCGAGTAATTAGGCAATATTCCTTATCAGTCGGGTGTCCACAGTATGCGACATAATACCAAGTGATTTAGTAAATGACAACCGAATTGTATCTATGTTTACAAAAACCCTCATGTACACGTTCAATATTGATGTAAATCATATGGATTAATTTCAGGTAAAATACTAGTGAGTTGAACTACAATAGAATCAAACAGATATTGGATACCAAACAATGGTTAGGAGGACTGTTGGCTAAGATCCACTCCTGTTAATGAGGTACGGCAACTTAGACCGATGCATATATGTGCCTGGTCCTATGTTGTAGCTGACTGACTGAGCGATCTTAAAATTTATTCCGAACAATAATTTTGCACGCCACACTAGTTTTTTTAATCCTTTTAAGATTGATTATGGTTACACGGTCCGTCAGAAGTATCGGAATGACTCCTTTAAATTCTTATCGTATCGTGAAGTTTTACAACTAAACGGACGACCATTTGTCGTATATTAAGTCACGTTAGCCAGGATTACGTCCTTTATGATTCCCCACACAAGTTTACAAGACAATATAAGTTAAGAATTAATCAACAAAGTAAATTACCTGCTAGCCTACTACCCATACAGAGGTTACACTATTAACCTCTGACGGTTCAAAAATACCCAGAAAACACTTGCGGGCATCGAATAGAAGCTTCTTAGAAACATCTGGGAAACGTCACGTTTCTGATTGAATATCTACATATACTACTACATTTCGTATGGTCCCAGAAATCCAAAATCGTGTTTAACTCTATAAATAGTCTCGTTTTTCTGTACATAAACTAACCTTGTAATAAAGCGTTTTTTTCGAACTTCTCGCATTTTCTCTTAAGTTCATGTTGCCGTGTACATTGAGCCAGGGAGTTATTAGAAGCGGCGGTCATTCAGCAGACTTATCAGTTAGTATTGTTAAGTGACAAAAGGACACAACAATTACTACCGGAAGCGATTCACTTTTTCTAAAATATAGTTATAAGATTCGAGTGACTGGTAATCTAAGAATCACCTCAACTATCTACCTACCTATATAAAAACTATTAACAAACTGTATATTAAACATTAGTCAGTATTTTACCTCATTCCTTTGGCGATGAGCGGACTGTATCTTGACAAACCAGATTACCAGCTGAAATATTCTTATCTATTTATTAAAGATATGTGTCATGGTATTGACAACGTTTTAGACAAATGAGCTGAAGAAAGAGATAAGCTTACTTTCAAATTAGAAGACAAAAAAACGTGCACAGTTTTATTAATTAATAGTGACAGACATTCAAGTGATCATTGGGAAATAAATTTTTATTATAAAAGCATGGTAAACATTTTACCGTAGATAATTTAGTCACACTTGTGATCATTTATATTACTAGATGAAGCTCTTTAGTTTTATGCAAATATACAAAGTTATGTAAGTCAATTATTAAATAAATTAGGTACTTTGTACAGAAACCGACCGGTTTTAAATCACTTGCAAAACAGAAGAACGGTGTTTATGTTTGTGAAAGATATAAGGGATTTAAGGGAAGAGGCAAAGAATAATTAACTGAATCTAGCAAGAAATCAACTGTAGTTTAAGTGTAGTCTAAGTGAAAAAGGTTCTACTATAGAATGCAAAGTATAAAATAGTGTGAAAGCATAGTGACCACAGACATTACATTCTTAGGGGATTGAATGGCAACTTGGACCTCCTGGAGCAGAGGAGATTAAACTTGTAGATGCAATAGAAGAAACAGGATCTGACAACTGTCTATCAGCTGGCGCTACACTTGTAACCAGAGAACCAGAAGTAGCAGCATTTGCAACAGGCAGTTTCATAGACTGAACAGGCGTTTGTACACAAGATGGATCACAGGAACTCGTTACAATATTTTTTTGGTTTGAAGGCACAGTGTAACAGGGTACTGAGTTTATAGCTACACCAACATTAGATGATGTACTAGTGATACCACTGTTACTAGTGGGTGATAGAAGTCCAATATTTGTATTATGAGTAAGAGGATTTGGTAAATTTTGATCAGTCATATTTTCATTATCATTTGGATCAGGTGGGACTAACAAATAAGTGATGAGATACTCAGGATAGGCTTGTTCACCTCTGTATATGACATACTCAGAGAAATTGAGTCCACCTGCGCTTGGTCGACCAACAATTGAATGGTGGCCCGGGGGTGCATGAGCTACTTTCATGGCATTGAACTGAATGAATGACCGTCCTAAAGCAACGCGACATAATAACAACTGACGTGGACAAATGTAACATGAACGAGATTTGTGAGCTGGGCAACCAGATCCTCCACCAATTCCATATACATACTAAAAGAGATAATGATAAGCTAAATAAGTAATCTTGGATTTATGATAGGAAAATGGACAAATTCACTTGGAAGCAAATAATGCGTATTTAAAGCATTAAATATTGATTACCTATGTAACTAACTTTCGTTACATATTGTATCTAAGTATTTTCAAGGTCTTATCCAACTTCTTTAGATTTGTAATTAACGAATGTATTTTGGGCCTATTCCTAACTTTTGAGTGGAGGCTAGTTAATACGAAAATTGCCTTGGTTGGTGGTTGTATCAAAAATATGACACATCTTGGCTACAAAAATGATAATGTGACAGGCAAGGCTTGACATAACATTTGTCACACTTAAAAGGGATCTCAGTTGCACAACAGTGACTAAGTTCATAACTTGGTGGTGTATACTTTTGTACTAAAAAGAGTAGAGATGTTCACATCAAGAAACATAAACATGAGGAAAGTAGTATTTAGAGTAACTGTTGTGACAACAACTAATGAATCACATGATGAGTGTACAGAATGTGGATATACACATGCACGAATTGGGATTGTGACGATTACGTACGCAACGGGGTATAAAAATAAATATGCAAACACACCGCTTAATGACAAGGTACAGTATCAAAATGAATAAATTAATTTTGAGCTCGTACCTCAGTCGTTGGAAGAAAGCCAGGGGCGGCCAGACCAAAACATGGCACAAATCCATGAAGTCACTGACAAGTGGACAGAGCCATGTTGTTAGGTGTAGACTACCTGGTTGGGATCCGCGAGATGATAGCAACCGATGGTTAGAGACCTTGAATGACATGGCTCATAATCGTTGGCAATGTTGCACGTGCATCAACTCTTTGTGTTCTCCCAAATTTTAGTCTTCTGAATTCTTCATGTCCCTTTTTTCTCTTTCCAAATTTATTTCACTGGATTATATTCCTTGAATAACATCTTCGCACCTTAATCTTTCCGACTACTACTTATACTCTTACTACCTTTTCCACTACGGGATTTGAACTGATAATTGTATCTGTGTGCTAATGTGGTATGGTAACTCGAACTGATGTACGTACGTACTAAGTTCTACGTTGTTACTGTCTGTCTGTCTGTCAATGTTTAAGGTACTGAACAGACATGTCTTCATTCCCGAAATACTTCAAGTGATGGCGACATATTTATTTCTTGTATCATTATGGAAATAACTCAGTTTTACTTTGTTCATTGATATTTTTGCGAGTTATTCTTTAAGTGAAATAGTGATTACTGTTGTAAACTATAATTATCGAAAAATCCAAAAATTTTATACAGTCCATCAATAAATTTGAACAAAGCACAAAAAATAAGATTCGTTGGATAAACTGAAGCCACTCAAGTTCATAAATTCTCATCAGTTGTAAACTGCTCTACTTTACATGACATGATATTCAACATACAAATATAGATCAATGTCAAGCACTATGTGCAATGTGCCATTCTTTAGTGTTTGTAAGTTAGTGTAAAATGGGGAACATTCGTTTTAACCTCATTGTCTAAAGCGTTTCAAAACATTGTAGTAACCATATTATTATTGTTGATTTGAGGGTAATTCTAGCTAACAAGAAATCTTGAAATAAAATGAATTTATTTCATTTCGGGAACTATGATCTTGCTTTATTTAAATTTAATATTTACTAAATTCAAGTGTGTTCAAAGGGATGACAATGACTAGCTTCAGAGTGTGTATACTGATTAGTATAAATAAAATTAAA